ATTAGGCAAGAACTGCGATGGCAACGTCGAACATTGTTGTAAAAAATGGAAACCTCCTCGTCAGGAAGAAAAAGATCGACACTCTTCCGCCAGCCGTCTGATAGCTCGGTTCAGTAAAATCTTATACRAACTTGCTTTACTTGTTAACTGTATATTTCTTTATTCGTTAGAAGYGATATCGTTCAGTGTTTTAATATTAGAGTATCTATCAATCTACTCTATATTCGACTTTTATTTATAATATTCTTTATTTTACTTCTCATATAATTTTACTTTTGTATTATATTGTTTTGTATAGATTAAATTACGTCTATTATATCCTTATTATTATTATTAATTGTATTTATTTCAACTTACTATTCTTTAATATATCATTTCATTGATTTTAAAACAGCATTCGATAGGGTTAACAGAGAAAGGATGATAGTAAAATTAAAGGAAAAAGGGATAGAAGGTAGAATGCTAGAAACAATAAAAGAGATATATAAGAAAACAAGAGTGGAAGTACAGACTCAAAGGAAAATCACGGAAAGCTTTAGAACAGAACAGGGCGTGCGTTGATCTTAACATAGCTGATCTGGAGGAAAGATGGATTGYGAAGAATGAAGGAGGAGCAGTAATAGGGAAAGAAAATATATTCGCAATAAAATAAGCAGATGACGTTGCAGCACTGGTGGAGACAGTGGAAGGGTTGAGAAGCATATTACAGGATTTAGAAAAATGGGCACAGAAAAATAAAATGAGAGTAAACGAAAAGAAAACAAAGATCATGATCTTCAGAAACGGAGGAAGGGTTAAGAAAGGGGAGAAATGGGAGATTAATAGGACGAAAATGGAGGTAGTAAGGGAATTTAAATACTTAGGATATTGATTCACAAGTAAAAATTCGGTTTGGGTGCATGGGATAAAAACTACAGAGAAAGCGCAAAAAGCGGCGAATATGGTATGGGGGATATGCAAAAGGGCAGGGAGAAATACTATGGAGGATAGGCTATTCCTATTAGATTCAATAGTGAAAGCGGAGGTTATGTATGAGGTAGAAATATGGGGGTTGGGGTAAATAAAAATGTTTGAAAGGATACAGAATAGTTATTGTAAAATGGCTATGGGAGTGGGCAGGACAACGCCAAGTTACGTATCGAGAAGAGAGCTAGGAATCCCAACGATGGAATTTTTCATAAGAGAAAAAGCGTTAAGATACATCAAGGAGGTGTTGAAAATGGAGGAATCAAGGTGGCCAAAAATATGCGTGATGAAGGAGCCAAGAGCGATAACGAACGGTAAGCCCTCAAAATGGGGGGAAAATTTAGTCAAAGTGTTGAGGGAAATGGGTATTGAGGATTTGATAGAGATGATAAAGGAAAGAAGAGATGGTGTGAGGATAGGGGAAAAGATAAAAGAGAGATTAGAAGAATTTAAAAAGAGAAGTCTAAGGGAAGAAGAGGAAAAAATAAGAAAGTCAACATATAATAGTATGTACAAGCATTTAATAGAAAACGATGAAATGCCATAGAAGTATTGGTCAGAAGAAGGAGTGAGGGGAGGGGTCAAGGAAGTTTGGGCAAGGTTAAGATGTGGCAACATAGGAAAGGCAGGAAAGAAAGGAGAAAAGGACTGGAAATGTAGGTTATACAAAGAGCAAGAAGAAACGTTGGAGCATTTGATAATTTGCTAAATAGGAAGAGAATTAGTGTCCGAGAAGGGAAAGAAGGAGGTAGAGGAAATGGATGGATGAAATGAAGGAAGGCGCTATAAGAGGGGAATTAATAAACAGTTTCCCACCCTTTGTTTTCAATTTATTTTTTATTATTGCATTTAATGTGAATATCTGATCTCTAGTTCCTTTTCCCTTTTCTAAATCCCGCCCGACTTTACTTCAGCTTTTTATGCCTTTTAAAGAAAATTATTTATTAAAAAAAATTAGGAATAATTAATTTTTTAACATCTTGCGCAAATTATAAAGGAAAATTGATTTTACTTGAATTACAGTTAATATATTTTATTTTTTAACAGGTATATGAAAAAGTATCTTCAATATACTAACAAATAACAATCGTATATATTCTAATTATTAACTATTTCTGTTAATATGTTATACCTGTTAAAAAATAAAATGGTAACTGTGACGTTCCGCCACGTATACCTTCCACATAGGAGAATAAAATTTAAACAATAGAGGCGTTGTTCCAGTGATTTACGTAAAAGACAATTGAAACTGTTGTTACTAGTAAATATCGAAACCAATCAAGGCACTCTCGACAGTGGTATAAATAAAAGATTAACTTATCAAGTCTCTATGCACATAAATAGTGTGAAATAAATATTCTTAGATTATTCTTTTCAAAACTCATATCTACTATTTAAAATAACCGCAGTGAATCATTGGGAACCGTTCTAAGTATTCGACAAACTCCACGTGGCCCCGCCATTCACCTTCATCTGTCAACACGTGCGAAGAATAAAACACCGTACACCACAGCTGGGGAGTTCGGAGAACAAGAAACCTATGATCGAAAAGATCAACATTTCTCCTATCTTCCCCAGAACGTCATTGTCGCCTTAAGCATAGTCCATTCTCTTAATAAAGAACTCTTAGTTAGAAACCGTCGCCAATACCGAGTTATTCGAAACCTAACATAAACCAGAGCCGATGTCTCATATCCTTCTCAGGATGCAAATGTCAAATAAATTCAACCGACGCTTGACCGATAGAATAAACCTCCAAACAATGTTTAAATTAATGTCAAATAATAATTAAATAAACATTATTATAAGACACATTGTAGAAGTTAATTAAATAAGACTAAAATATTTGCGAATAAAGGAATTGCGGTATGTTATGAGAATAAGCGACGAAACCCCGAAAGGGAAGTATTGAATAAGACTTAAGATTTAAGATAAAAAAATTATATTAATTACTAATGAAATGTGAAAATTAACTTGTAAGTCTCCTTAAGGAATATTCTAGAAACGATGATGCATAAGGGGTTACATGGGTTTACACCGGGAAAAAATAGCATATTTTCAACAATTTTTTTTTCTATATAAGAAATGAAATTCTTATTCAAACTTTTTATAGCATTTAAGATACATATTTAAAGAAAATTTTCTGAA